TCGTCTTATAACCACAGATCCTTGTTGGCCATACGATATGCATATTTATTATTGTCACTGTTTTCCAATATCATTTTTATTGCAAATAAATATTAAAAGCATCGCCAAGGAAAGATGATACAGCAACTGACTGCGGTCGGTATGCAATAACGAGATATACTCGCATGTATATTTTGCTGACACTTTCTCCATTTCACGCTATATTCTTATTCCTCAATTTCCTTAATCTAAAATGAAGACTGTCATCGACATGGTCGCTTGCCTACGATGTGGCAATCATACAAGTACATATGTACATATATACAATTGTTTCAAAAGATATATGATTTTCACACCTCGTATACGGATTGCTTACATCAGTTGGCTTGAAATACAGCTCATATGTAGTTTTAAGCACATAGCATAGATATGTATAATCTTAAATATGTCTACCCACAAGGAAATTAACCTGAAGAATACTTATATCTAGCTACACACACTCAAAATTGCAAGGCCCTGCGAAGCTCTTAAATGGTTCATGCCCATTGAAGGTCATTTGTGCGTGATTCGGAATATAGGGTGGATGCAGAAAAGCCTTCCAACAAAGCTTTTGGTTACTCTGGCGAGTCATTAGCTTTGTATGTGGCCTGGTATTATCAGATGAAATGAAATTCTACATCCTTTGGCCAAAGCTGAACGCTTCTGGGCCGTTGCTTCCTCCAGCTGCTCCTATTTCTGACAGCAGAGCTCTGAATAGAGAGCTTGGCCATGAGCTACCTGCTCATAGTGATTGATTCCATGCCAATTCTCGTAAACACAAAACAAATCCTTTCTGGCTTGGTGACTTTTTGTACCATCTCACTGTCCTTCGATCGCTTTTAGGACTACTCAAACACTACTCGTTGAAGTTATCAACATTTCCGGCTTTATCTTTTTTAGTAAAAAATATCATTATTCTAGTGCAATCTAGCGTAGTCCTATCATGCTTATAGAATGCGAGATACAGATCACTAAAGCCTTCTAATGCACCTTACTAGACTTCTTAATATAGAGAAAATTAATCATCCAGTGATGATTAACCCTAAATCCTAATCAATGATAAATTTCAAATAACGATTGATCACTTAAACAACAACAAAACAGCGGCAACTAATGTCCTTTAGCCGCAGGGAAGTAGCAAGGTACTCGGTAAGAGGAGATTTTGTGCTCCTAATCCTCCAACTAGTCAATCCATTTGTAAAATTTTAAGTAAATTTAAAGAGACTAGATCAGTTACAGATATTATAGAACCTGTGCATCATCGTTTAGCTCGTCTGGTCTCAAGAGAATGGTCACTGTTGGGCTTTTTTGTTGGGCTACGGTAAGACCGTGTTTATGCGGATTAGCCTTTAATTCTTGAGTACTTGAGAACCGACATTCGTCAACTTATGGCTGAGAAACCGCCCAATATGGGCCGAAAAGTGGTAAAAAGTTGCATCAAACTGATCGAAGTTTCCAAAAAATCTCGAGACGGTCCTTCATATGATATAATGCCCAGGCTTAAATTTTAAAAGAAAAAATAAATTTCATGAAAAAAATAGTTCACGGTCTCGTATTTATACATATATGTATATACATACATACGTGTGCATATATTTTTGCTTATGTGGCAGTTTTATTTTTCCTGTCTCGCTCGTTTTTTCTGTGCAACGAGCAGAAAATTGCATTAATTCGTTTATCCACCTCTGCATTGCGTGCTTTTTTATTTGTTGGCAACTTTTTACGCTTGTTGTTTTAATGAGCATGACGCAAGTGCAACAATGCACATACGAACGTACTCGTACGCATAAGAAAATATGTGAATACGTACAGCCGTGTAAATAAATATACCCAAAGTTGAATGTCTTTCCATGGCAAGCTGAATGCGAGTGTGAGCAGGAATAAAGAATAAAGCTGTGTTCATAATGAAATCGCAATGCAATTTGTAGTAGGAGCTTGGCCGATATATAATAGGCAGAGCTCCTACACCAATTTGTGGTTTTGCGTGTTGATATTTTTCCAAAAAATAGAAGCACCTTGCAGTTTATGCTAAGCCGTCTCCGTGGACCTGAAGTTTTTTTTTTACGAGGAGCCTTTATTTCATATCAGAAACACACTCAGAGGTGTTGACTTTCCCTGCCGATGGACGACGTCAACTAGAAAATTTAGCTTAATTTTTTATTTAAAATATATTTCTATAATTCTTTCGAAGTTGGTACAACGGCAAACACAGTAAATTTACAAATTCTCCTCTACGGAAAACTGAGTTGTAAATAAAATTCCATAAATTATTTTTTCTTAATGCAATTTAAAGTTAAACTGAAAATAGTTCCTCCCTTGTTTCACATGGGATTAAACTTGAGATTATCGTGAAATTATCGGGTTTCTCATTCATCGAGAAATGCACTTCCTCTTCCTCTCTTTCCACAGGCGGCCACTGCATCGAAGACTATCAAAGCTGGAGTACTCTTATCTAAAGAGAGAGAGAGAGATTTACTTCCCAATTACCCACTCACCCAAAGTAGTACCCGTTGACAAGAGTGATTCTGCGTTGAATTTCCAGGCTGACATTATTATTGATGTTAATACTGGTACCAAGCTAGACGAAGTTATCTACAGCTTCAAAGTTATGACTATCAACAGTGATTTATTTATTTGATGACAGGAAATATTTCGCATTGTCCTCGTTCGCTACCAGACCCATTCCCGTCGCTTTTTTATCAATTCTGGAGGATGCGGTACTCACGGCACGATGATTGATATTCCGAATGGTGAATATCTGGTCAATGGTTGTTTTACCAGGTCGAATGCCACACAGATTTAGTACAATCAGTCTGTTGACTGCGGGCTTTAGTCTTTCACAAATGCTCGATAGGAACTTAGATGTGATATTTAAGAGGCTAATACCACGCTATTATTCATTTATTATGGATCAGGCAGAGCACACTTAAGTTCCCATCGACGGGCAAATTGATGCATGCACCTTGTCAGCACTTTACCGTCACATTTTGATAGTTCCGTCAGTAGGCCGCCAGCTCTAACCGAATCGCTATTGGAACGTCATCGATCGGTGAATTGGTGGTTCGCCAAATCCGAGTCTTCCAACTTTTACTGGCATTAAGTGAGCTGAAGAAGAGCTTTCTCCATACATTGAGCAAACTCTGGGCATTAATCGTTAGATCCTCTTTTTGAGTCCAACAATAATTTACTCCAGTCTTGAAAACTTCTATATTCGGCGCATCTTTTAGTCGAATTTTTGAGAACTACCCGTGTCTGCCAGCTTTTCAAGCTATTCATATTCACGCATTTCGAGCTTTTTTTTTTTCTTGAACGCACCCTGCCCCCCTCGATTCTCAGGGTGGGATAGCTCCGCACGCGTATAGTTCGATGGAAGCATTGTGAGGGTTGCAGCCAGGAGACAGCCAAGTGGTTTGGTGAGTTCTCACCCACTCTCTCTTCATTTCCGTCTTTGTTCTGGCTAGATACACAAAGAAGCCGTATGTATGGATGCCACATAAGTTAAGGAGTAAAACTGCATGAACTGAACTTCCATCTACGAATCAGTGCTGAATCGTAAGAAAAGCGACTAATTTCTAAATCGAATAATGATTTGTGATAAAAAGCAGGTCAATAGCCACAATTTGAAACGAAAACGGTAGTAGTCGAAGATGGGGAGACGGCACAAAGGGTCTGCAATCCAGAGTGCACGACCACAAAGCTTTTGTTGTGTATTTGGTGGAATTGGAAAAAAACTATCCACTTTGAGCTGCCCCTACAGCCAAGCTCTTCGTACGAACTTGTGCTGTCAGCAATTGAACCGTCTAAAGGAAACGGTCAACAGGAGGGGAATTGTGTTTCATCACAACAACGCCAGAGCACACACATCTAATGCATCCACCTTACGGACCTCGCAGCAAGTGATTGACATATGTTTCTGTATATGGCGAAAGATTTCCCTGTCGAAAAATTGGTCTCAAGTGAAACAAGGGACAAGGGTTTCCACGTGAAAGGCATAATGACATTACCTAAAAATTGATAAAAACGTATCCTGGCAAACCAGTGCATTGACATGAGTCGAATTAAGTCTATTTATGATAATTAAAGCCTTCAGTTATATGCAAAACTTTTCACTAAACCAATATATTAGACTTTCTGATTAATCATGAAATATACATCACGTTGGATCAGAAGAGATCTCGGCAGCCATAAGTTATGAGGCTTCCCTAAATAATTCTGAGCTTGAGATTTTATTTTATCTTGCGACTTGCATTGTGTCTGATTTCGATTTTTCTGAGCTATGTATTTGCGTACCCTCGTCACGGCCGCCTGGATGTGCTCAATAGACTCACCGATTTTGTTCTAAGGAACAAAAAAGTCACCGGGTGGCATATCGGGTGAATAAAGCGGTTTTTGGAACACGGTGATCCCTTTAGAGGCTAAATACTGGGACACGCTGAGGGCGGTGTGGAACGGCGCATTGTCGTGATTAAGGATCCAGTTACGAGCGATGTCTGGACGCACCCTGTTGACTCGTTTTCGCAATATTTAGAGTACTTGGCGATAGTAGATTTGATTTACGCTTTGCCTCGGTGAAAAAAATTCTTTGTGGACGATTCTACGGCTATCAAAAAAGGGCAATAATCATCATTCTCACCTTAGTCTTGATCATGCGAACTTTTACAATATTAGCGTACGTTTCCGAAGCTGTTTCGCCCAACTTGTCGGTTTAAAACCGAAAAGATCTTTGTTGTGGTGGCTTGGAAGGTTCGGTTAGTCATACGAACTGCATATCTCGTGCGTATATACCGCAGGTGGGAAACTGTTGGAAATAAAAATAACGGAAACTCTCTTTTCAAGTTTTTTCTATGGCTCTCTCTCTCTTTCTCTTCATATTCTTGCTAACATATTTTCGTATTTTTATAACCAAAACTTCATTAAGAAATACAAATATACATGCGTATTATAACTTCTTGTTCTTCTTTTCCTCTCGCTTTCCGTTACAGCTCAACAGATAAGTTAAATTCGGAAATGTGTGAAGAAGAAGATGCCGTAACGGACAAGGCAGCACATAAACATGTAACAACGGAAGCAGAAGATGTCCTTCTCTATCCGCAAGCCCATACGTTCTATCAGCAGCCGATGTCAATGCAACACTTGCAATTCACGAATTCGGCATCAGTGACATCGGTGTCATCAATGTCACCGACAATAACGCCACCGCCACCACCAGCACCGCAGCCCACGCTTTCGCCACCAACTCAGCCACTAACAACTACATTACAACAATTGAAAAAGCAACAAAATCAGCACCAGCAACAACAGCAGCAGCAGCATCGTATACTAACAGCAAAGACAACCACAATGACAACTCAACCACTAATCTCAGCTGCAGCGGTTACATTATACCAACAACAGCAACAAGCATACAACTCGCACCTGTTACAACAACACCCACGACCAGAACAAATGACTTCCGCAACCGATGTCAGCGCCAATTTCAGCGTCAACGCCAGCGCCAACATCAACAACGCCTCAGCCTCAGCCGCAGCTTATAAGCGGCAGCAACAGAAATTAAGAAAATTACGCGAACTACACTCGCTCGCCTTGGAGGGTGGCGACACGGCGCGCGGTTATTGCTCCTGCGACGAGCAATGGACCTCATCATCCCCACCCACGTCCGCCTCGCCAACACTTTCGTGCAATGAAGGACACGACGAAAAGACATCCGACGGAAGTGAAAGCAATGAAACAACAACAGCAACAACAATAACAATGCTTGGCGAAAATACAGTTACAGTGGCGGGTGAGCGGATGGTTGCAGGAAACGCGTACAAGCAAATGAATGTGACAACAGGACATGGCCGGTCGGCCGTCAGCGGTAATGACGGTGGTCACAGCCGGACGAGGCAGCTAACAAACAAACATAGCCATCACAACAGCTGCGGCCGCAGCAGCACTAGCAAGGGTGTTATTGATGTAGGTGTTGGCAACATTTGGACGGGCACACGCGCAAATGAGGTCGCCAAAGCAGCGGCAGCTGTGGTGGCGGCAAAAGCAGCCGAAGCTGCCAAGGCAACGTCGTCGTCGTCGTCGTCGGCGGAGGGCACATTGCGGGATAGTAGAAACAAGCCTGTGCCGGCAGTGCGCCTCAAGCAACAACATCATGTGCGCTTTTCGGATGAAAAGAATTTCTCCGATTAGTTTGACGTTGCAGCGTAGCAAAAAAGGGGCAAAAGTTGAAAAGTTGAAAGCAAAAAACAAGAAGAATAAATGAGAATTGAGGGCGAAAGTAGTGAAAAAGGAAAAGTAATTGACAAAAGACAACGACGCGGCTCGGCAATGACTCGGTTTCATTACAAAAAAGAAGGAAAGTAGATTTTTCAGTGGCCGCAGGGAATTTTGAAATTATTTAGAGATTTTTAAATGAGGAAAAAGTTCCCTTAAAAACAAAAATTTCTCATAAGGGAAAAATTCATAGTCATTTGGAAATTCCTATCAGACTTTCTAAAATTTTATTGGAAATCTTGTAGAACATATGTACATACATATATTTTTTAAACTTTTCCTGCGGCGCCTAGAGAATTTCTAACTATTCAAAATTCAATCGAAAATATTTCCTGCTTAATTCACTTAATTCCCTTTCCTAAAGTCATCACCCAAGTAAAAGCCGAAAATATTTAGAAAACACAAAAGAAAAATCCGAGATAAAAATAACAGAAAGAGTGACATAAATTCCAGATGCGAACACCGAAAAACATAATAAAATAAAACTGTTTTTTAAAATGAGCAGTGCAGCGTAGAATACTAAATACAAATTAAATATATAATATACTACATACATATATAGTTGTAAATAGATAACAATGAAACAATGATTTCCTAATAAGAAGAAAAAATCACAGAAAAAAGTAATCTTGCCAATGCGTTCAAACTCAAGGGATAGAGTCATTCCAAGATTTTGAAAACGTATTCTTTTATTTAATTTAATTTTCTTTTGCTCACAGGGTATCTTTGGGTCCTTAAAAAGATATGCAATTGGTTTTGAAGTGCAAAAAATATTTCATATAGCTGAACATCTTTATTTTGCTGCAGCCCCTCAGAACGTAGGCTGAGTACAATGAAAACTTGAAACGCGTTTTTTTTTTTCAAAATCACATTTTTCAAACTAAGTGGACAGTTTATTCGGACCCAATTTCATAGATTTATCTGAAATTTTGACGGTAGCTTCACAAATACATTTTTTTTTTTTTTTTTTTTTTTTTTTTTGATAAAATGTAAACTTTTTTTTTAATAATTTAGTGCGATTTTTTAGTCAAAAATCAATTTTATAAAAAAAGAATGCCGCTTACACCAAAATTTGTTCGAAAATAAATCCGTACGTACTTCCATAGAACATAGTTTGTAGAAGATAAAACTTTTTGCTTCTCTATTCTAGGTCTCATTCTTTAGAAGAAATCGGTCCTCCCGTGGACGCCTTTCAAAAAAGAACATGGATTAAATAATGGTCTTTGTCATCGCCATTTTGTAACTAAATAATAAATTTAAAAAACATATTTTTACGCTTCAATATATGTTCATTGAAATTGTTAAATAGAAATTCTATTCCTTTCCCCATACAATAAATTTAAAAATATAAAATTGTATATTTTTCAGCCCCAAGAGTGGCTCTACCCATTAAGCTTTCCAAGCTTGGTATTTTTCAACAGATGAAGATGGAAGGATTCTCCAAAACCATCTTGCCTTCAACAGAAGCATAAAAGTTGAAAAATGGCAGAATCCCGCCACTTGAATATCAGAAAAATTCGCAGAAATTTTTACGAAGCAAATTTAAAATAATTAGTAATTCTACCTACACACAGTGTGAACTATTCGAGATTGTTAACGCACTGTATTTTCCAAATATCTTCTTCTTCATTGGCATGTGCTTTACTTACGCGCCATTCGGTTCCTCTCTTCGCTATTTGACACCAGTAGATACCGAGCGAAACGGGTCGCTCTCCTTATCTTCTTTCCGAAGTAGAGGGCTTCTCCTTCCTCTGCTTCCACCGACAGGTACTAGATCGAATACTTTCCACTGCCTTTTCATTCGATGAACCATATTAAAGTCACCCTTTAATTCCTTCTACCGTCTGCGGTATTAGCCGTAGCTAAGGTGCAATGGACTAAAATCGTTCACAAAACTTATCTCTCGTATACACCCAGGGCTGCCTCATTGGTTATCGACATCGTCTACGCTTCTGCACCATATACTCGTTTGTCATAGGTTAGGAGTGATGAGTGACTTATAGAGTTTCAACGAAAGAGGATTTTACTTTTCAATTGCCTATTCAATACAAATTTGGTAGTAGTGATTCTGCGTTGAATTTCAAAATTGACCTTATTATTGGTATCAATGCTGGTTCCTATTGTAGATAGAAGAATTTATCTACGACCTTGGAGCTAGCACTGTCAAGAGTGACGAGAGTGTCGAGTTGCGACGAATGCGTTGACTTTTTGTTTGATAACACGAGATATTTCGCATTGTCCTCCTTCACTACCAAAATGAACGAAGAAGTGGAGGCTTTAGTTTACTGCACCCAATTAGAGATATGAAAGTCATTTAAGTATCTTCCAGACTGAAATTTGCCATAAAACTGGCTGTGTAACTATTGCATTCCTCAAAGCAAGACAACACACGTTAAAGTGAACAGCCGAAAACCCATCAAGGTCTTATTTTCATACAGCACAAAGTCGGCCGTGGTCGCACTATGCAAAGAGGCGATAAAAGTAATATAAGCAAAAGAGAAAAATTTACATAAACTGGGTGCCAGCTGGCATGGGTACTGTAGACAATTAGTTAGCTGACGAACTGGCTACGGAGTATGTCGTTTTAGAAGAGGACCTAATAATGTGCCCATCAGCTCGATTGAACGCAGTGTGACAAACGCAAGAAGTAATCTTGCTTCGTCAGGCGAATAGACTTTAGGAACAAGCTAAGTTCTGTAGAATTGCCAAAACTATATATACAACTTATGATGCTAAGCCTACAAAATTTTGACTCGCCGTAATTAGGCCGGATTTCAGGCTGCTGATAGAAATGTTAACGGGGCATTGCCCCTTGGCGTTATTTGCCTTTAATTGGGTCAACAAGTGCAGTAAATATAGGGAATGTGTGGATAGAGTGGGGTACGTAGTCTGTAAGTGTCCAGCATTCAGCAGACAAAGGTTATGCATACTTGGCGCAGAAAGACTGCAGCGCCTTTAATCAACAATGCTCAAGGCATCAAAACGAATCGCTGTTCAGCTTGGTCGTTTATAGTGTGTGCGGCAACACTATGCACGTAATACCTAAGTGAGACCCACTGGGTTAGCCAGTTTAACTTATCCTAATCTAAAGTAATACCACATAACTTCTCAAAAATATTATATTATCGGACGTTTTGAAGAGAATCCATAAAATCATTTTTGAGTTATTCTGTGATTAAAAATAGCTCCTTTGTGCTACGCTCACCAAAACCATGTTTTTTTGATATGATGACCGTTGAAACTCGATACCAGCAGAGTTCTATGCAGCTTTTGGAAAACATAAAAAAATGTAAATAATTTATTTTTACTTAATTTTAAATTTTTTAAAAAAAATTAACTGTTTACTGTTGTACGAAAATCTGGAGAGAGATTCCACCACTTTGTGATAGGCGCTAGTGTTGCCAGGAAATTATTATTATTATTATTATTTTTTTTTTTTTTTTGTGAGATAACTTCTACTTCAATCTCTAAGGATTTTTTGTGAGTGTTACAATTATTAAATTTTTATCTTTCAAATATTCGTGAAATGAAGTCACAATGTGATTGGTGTATGCCATATTATTACTGTTATAAAATAAAATTATTTAATGATAGAAAATAAATTTTTTCTATTCGAATTTGAACTTTTCTCCAAAATAATAACTTTGAAATCTTAATTTCAAATACGAAAATATATATAAAGTGTACAACTTTGCTTCCGCCGTTTTTTTTTTTAAATTAAAAGCTTTATTGCGAAAAAGTGCTTACAGATATATTATTCAAAGTATTGTCCTTCGCTAGCGACAACTTTCTCCCATCTTTCCGGCAATTTTCGGATCCCGCCTCGAAAAAAGAAGTCCTCTTTTGACGCTATCCATGAAGCAATCCATTTTTCCAATTCTTCGAAGGATTGAAAATGTTGATCTGCCAGGCCGTATGCCATCGAACGGAATAGGTGGAAGTCAGAAGGGGCGACATCTGGGGAATACGGCGGATGGGGCAAGACTTCCCATTTCAGCGTTTCCAGGTACTTTTTGACCACTTTTGCGACGTGAGGCCGAGCATTGTCGTGTTGGATGATGATTTTGTCATGTCGCTCTTGATATTGTGGCCGCTTTTCTTTTAGCGCGCGACTAAGGCGCATCAGTTGCGTTTGGTGGCGATCTCCTGTGATGGTTTCACCCGGTTTTAAGAGCTCGTAGTAAATCACACCGAGCTCATCCCATCAAATACAAATCATAACCTTGGCGCCGTGAATATTCGATGAAACCACTCCCGACACGTTATTTCACTCAGAGCAGCATCGCCGTTAGTTTCTGAGAGCATTCGATGCCCTTCAGCTGCGTTATTTTTTTTGAATCGTTGCAGAAAAGTAAAACTTACCGCAAATGGCGAGAATTAGGCACATAAATGGACATTTTCGAGCGTGAATAATACGAAAACAAGAAACGGCGGAAGCGAAGTTGTACACCAGATAATTTAAAAACTTGTGTGATAGAAGCTTGCTTAGTTGAAGGAGAATTTATCGGACTTGGAAGGTTATACTTGCAGCTTGTAAGGTTTTTGGAATTAGAAGAGATATTCGTGTATCTCATGCTAGAAATTTTCACTTTACTTGTAAAGTATGCAGTCGTTTTTCTACGAAATTCGTGCTTCAGTTTCATAAAAATATTTCTGGAATCGATTTAAGTATTAAAAAAATATTTACAGATGTGTTGCTTACAATCTACAAATCGAGAATTTATCTAACGTTACACGCAATCCGGTAGCTAATTAGAGCGATCTAAAATTTCAACATCTGGCAGCACCGAATTTTTATTAAATTCTCTATTATGTTTGTTATAAAAAAGTTAATGGAATAAATTGCTTTTAGTCAAAAATATTAAAATTAAATTGATTTTCATATTCCAATTAAAGCAAAAGAACAGCAAACGCAGAAAAGTGAAAAATAACAATAGAAATGCATATAGAAAGGACAAAGAGTAAAAGAGAATTTTGAAAATTAAACAGGGAAACAAAAGAACGATTTTTTTCTTCAACCAAAGCAGACAAAAAAAGCAATAAAATACATGAGCGTGTGAAAACGAACACAAAGCGGTTTGAAGGACACACGAAATAAAATAAAGATAAAAGTAAAAATAAAAGTAAAAATTAAGTTGAAAAAAATCAAAAACAGAATATAAAAATAATACCCAAATAAGGTAAGAGCAGTGCATTTTTTGTTAATTTTTGTCAAAAATTTAGTGGAAATAAAAAGAAGGCGCAAAAATAAAAACAAAACGCCAGTGGAAACAACGTAACGTGCGAACGAACTAAAATGAAAACAAAAGGCAACACTTCACTGCGCCAACAAATATAAAACAATAACTAAAAGGCTCATCAAAAATGTATGTATGTATGTAAATTATAACTCAAAGTGTAGTTTGTAAAAAATCAGTAAAAAAAGAAAAAAAATTTTTACAAAAAAAAAACACAATAAATGTTGCATCTCTGGGCAAAAGCGCTTTCTTTTTTGGTTTAAGTTTAAAACAACAGTATTTAAGTTCCTCACTGTTTATTTATCGCTAGTTTCATTTATTTAATTTCTTTTTTTTTCATTTTTATATCTCTTTTCAATGCTGCGTTATACTTAATTTTTGCATTTATCGATTTTTTTCTTCAGCAACGTAAAACCGCAACCCTACCTTAAAACTATTTCCCCCGCTTTC